GACTTCTATGAATTAAGTACTGCATTGTGAAGTTCAGACAACAATAGAACATATTTCTCAAAGACATAATTCCTCCTCCCCCTCATTATTATTATTGTCAGTTTTAATATTGCTATGACTTTGGTAGTAGAATTGTGGAAGGGAGGTTTGCTTATGTACCACAAGTTAAAAGAGAATTTGAAATGTGGATTGAGATAAAGGTAGAGTTCAAAAGAATTGAGTAAACCAAAATGGCAATCAAAAATAGAAAAACACCTGAGGAAGTCAGCATATTATAAAGTACAGACCATTGGGCTGCATGAATCAGGAAGTTTTATTTTTTCTAGTTTCACTCTCGTGATCTTGGACATCACTTGACCTCTCTATGTGACGCTTTTCTCATCTGTAAAATAAGGGAATTTGAATGTATTATCTCTAAACTTGCTTCCAGCTCTAAAACTTCCAAATACGATTATCTCAGATGAGCTTTGCGAATACTAATGTAACTTTTCTTGTTAGATGAAACCAAAGTCTTACCTTATGCTGTAGATCTATTATAAAATGTAGACCTATCATAAAAATTTTTTAAATGTTTTTAAAATGCTAATTATACCTTAGCCATAGTGGTCTGATTATGATATGACTTGGAAAATGTTTTATTTTTAAAATTTTCCTTTCTTTTATAGATTTTCTTTACCAGGAGATTACAAAAGTCATAGTCACATGTTAAATATGTCATGCTTAGGAAACCTTAGCTATTTTTCTCTCTTTCCAAAGATTAATGTCCAAATCTATCCATTCCTTTCTTCACTACATTAGTTACTTTCAAGTTGGCCTGAACAATGAAGTACCTCTTCTAAATCCCAACCATAAGAGTGACTGTCATTTGATAATTTGAGCACTCAGCCTTGATGTCACTAGAGAGTAGACTGCTCTTTCATCGATTTCTTTGAGGGTTGACCTGTTGTGGAATCCATAATTCTTTGTATTCCTTCAGCCCCATGGTCATTGCATGATTGGCATTCTGGACCCCCTAAGTCCACTGATTTCAAACCTTCATGTTGGGAAAACACTGAAACATCACTTCTAATCAATGAAAAAGCAAGATTCATGGTCCAGTCCTTTTCTTTTTTTGGATGAGAACTAGCAGTAACAGTTACATTGCCACAAGTTGCTTTTCCAAAGTAATTACCACCAAGCTCCCTGTGGTATGCAGTGTTTAACACATTGCTTCCAGTGTTAATGAATGCAAGAGGAGGAAACACAACTATTAGTAATTGCTTTTTATTCGTAGTCCTCATTTTCCAGATAGATCACATTAAACACAGCCATTAGACAATAGCATTGAGATAATCCATACAATGTATGCTGCTTTTGTTGTCCTTGTTCACCAATCGCTTGGTGCAGCTCAGAACTTTATGGGGATGATGAAGCTGATAAATGGGAATTGCCAACCTGTGGAAGAATGGGGCCAGGGGAATCAAGACTTGAATCAGGTCTCATTCAATTATGTTTCAAATCAACAAATCTCGATAGCCAAAACTCTCATCTGAATCAATGCTCTGATAAATGCTGTCTGTTGTCAAAAAGAATGTAATTAGACAATAATGAGTGCATGTATATTATGCCAGACCTCTGACTACTTGTTGACCTCATCAACTTCTTCTAGTCCATTAAGCAACATTCTGTTTTAAAGCTGGTTTTAATAAAGCATCCTGCTCCATTACTAGTCATCACATGATTTTTTTATGGCCACATTTCTAAATGGGCACCATCTACAGGCTCTAATGGCACATCATAGTTAAAAAGGTCTCTGCTAATTGGGAGTATCAACATAAAGTCAATTTTCTGACCATGCATCCAGTTAACTTATGGTGTGGTGAGTCAACCTTAACATACTATCTACAATAAGGTTCACTAAAGCCACTGAAGCAAGGTTATGAAAGTATTCTTTGAAATTGTTGGATATTCTCCTTTAGCACTTACTTTGAGAAAGAGTTAAATAACACTGATTCTCCCTCCTTCTAACATTATTATATGCAATATCATTATTAGTAAACAACTGTTGGAGCATTATCTTTCAAAAGTTTCCACAAAAAGCCATTTGTTCTGCTTGACCTTAAAAACAGCGGGTTTTTTTAGCAGGTGAGAAATGAGCTAATTATAAACACTTGTACGTATGTATGTGCGTATAGGAGGGTCAGTTTGAGGATGTGAGATTTTTTTTTCCTGTTTTACATATGATGTGAGGCCCATTCAAATTCCACTGGTTGATAATGCATTGCCTGCTGATACAGGCTGTTCCAAAAAGGTGAAGTTGGCAATCTCAGATGGCTTCATGGGAAGCAAAGCACCAGAGGTCTATGACAAAGGTAGCTGCTGGCCAAATGAATAAAAGCAAGATTCCCTCAACTCAGCTAGAAAGCTCAGAGTCATGGGTGCTGAATTACCTCAGTCAAGTAAATAAATAATCACTACTAAATACATATAATGTGTTAAACACCTAAAGCTAGTAAATCACTAGTGACAGAGAGCCTAAAGGTAAATTCTTCTTACATTGGCACAACCAATTCTTAAAATCTCATGTTTCACGGTTCATTTGTTTTGAACATATTCAGACACATACAATGAATGATATAGCTGGTTATTCAGGGTTAGGAGTGTTGAAAAAAATGAACCCTATTCTCTCTCAGTTGATTTCATTATAAACACCACCTTTGATTTTTTTCTGTGTAGATCTCTGTGGCTAGTAAAACAGAGACAGTGCTTGGTAGAATTAAATAGCAGAGTCACTTCTCCATCAAATTTCAGCTATCAAGCTAAATCAACCTGTAGTCTCCTGGCAAAATAATATTGTATAACAGAGACAACACATTTCAGATACATAAATTGTCCAAAATACAGAGAGCAGCTAGGTTCAACATGTACAAGATCCCTTGTTTTTTTTTTTGTTTTGTTTTTTTGTTTTGTTTTTTTTTTTCTAATTTAAATATTTAAGAATATTAAAAAAAAACAAGAGCAGTGCTTTGGAAAAGCTATTACCAGGAACCAAAGACAATTCTTTGTAAGATTGTAAGGCTGATGAGATTTGATCACTCTTCCCTCTGAAAACAGTTTTGCAATGAGGTACTATCCAAAATCACATCTGATATTGATGGAAATAGCTTAAATAGAACTTTGTGAGGTCTGAAATTGCAAAACTGAATTCACATCATTAAAAAAAAAATAATGTAAGGACTTCAATACATTTATATTGTTTCTACACTGGCTTGGTGACCAGAAAGGAAGGCACGGAGTTCTCCACCATTCTCACAATAATGTATTTCTCTGTTCCAGTGCACAAATAGCTTTTATCTAACTCCACAATACTTTTTCAGGTATGGTCCTGATATTCTTCCATGAAATTGTAAGAAGCCAGATATTCAAAATACTCAAGGGAAAAAAATAGTCAAAGCACTTTCTCATCTCCTGATTCCTCTGAATGGGTTAATTTCATGTTTTGACCATCTGAAATTGTAGGGCTTCCATTCTTATTTGTAAGTACTTTGATGTTTGCCAAAATCCACAGCAGAAAGTAGGAAGAAAACAGAGAAGAACTGGTCACTCTTAAACTACTCCAACAAAGAGAGCAAATGAGCTCTTCAAATCAGAAAGAATACTATTTGTTGTAAAAGCTTGTAATCTTAAGTGAGATTGCACATAGGAAAAAAACCATGGGCATAGACAGTGCTGGTACCTAGACATGCACAAAAGCACTCTCATGCTCTGGAGACAGAATGGCAGCGTTAAGTCTTGAAGTCCTTAAGATACTCGGAGCAATCAATAAGGGGCATTATATCTACATAAACAGAAGCTAAGCATATTGTTGTGAGGGGAGAAAGAACCCAAGGAAGTTCCAGGTGTTGGTTCAAGTGTAATTTTTGATATTAAACATGAATTTTCAATAAGAAGCTTCTACAAGGACTTGCACATAACCATGACTGATGGATGTATTTTCTGACCTTTTCAGTTAGCTCCATCAGCTCACTCAAACACATTTTGAACAGATTATGTACTGTAGTACTTGCTAGACCATACATTAAACAAGAGACTTTGCTCTGAGGCACTGCTTCCCACACTCCATGGGGAAAAGGAAGCAGGAAAAAACAAAACTCATAGAGTTCGACAGCTACCGAGGCAACACTTGCCATTTACAATATAAGCCCAAATATTTTTGCAACACAACTATATATTAATTTAATAAAATACACAATATAGCTCTTATACACTCAACAATTTGGCTCATATGCACTGAATCTGAAATAAATCAATAAAAATATGTCATTTGATGTAAACACATTGAATCTTCTTACATTTGCACATTTAAATGGTCATGTGATTCATGTATGTCTAGGACATTTTCACCTTCCTGAGCTATTTTAGTGTCCACAAATGGATAAAAAAGTGTTAATAATGTTAATTTTCTCTGTATAGTACCATCCAATGGTAACTATTTTTTTTCTGAAAACTTTACTATATTTCAAGTTTAAAACATTGATCATTATTTATATGTTTGTTGGACACTAAAATGCTAAATAGGCATTTAAACCTCTAAAAATTTTCTTCTTTAATGAAGTGAAATAGTAAATGTGTGTGCAGGACAAAATGGACTATATCATTTTTACACTTAACTCTTATATGGCAGGAAGTGTATTACGAATGACCAGGATATGCTTTGTTGACTAATGATATGGAATGTTCTTTGTGTGTTCATGTGTGGCAGGTAACTTTATACAGAAACATTTACCACAAATGCGTGTTAATGTTTGGCGCAGCTTGGACTACTGCAAAGATCTTTTAGGACTTTCAGTAGAGGCCTGTGATGACTGCTGGAAATCCACCACACATCAAAATTTGTCAACCCTGTTTTTCACAGAGTTATAGGTAAACAATAAAGTCAGCATTAACCATGGAGAACAGTCTTACAAAGATCAGAAAGATTTCATTCCTCTCATCTTATACCTTCTTAACAGATTGTCAAAAGATGTGTTTCCCTCCCTCTTTTTTCTCCTCTCTCTTTTTTTCCTGTCCTTCTTTAAGCATACTTGACTCTGTCCTGCTGTAAGTTTGGTCAAAATGAAACCAGTGTTATCTGTGAAAAAGAAACAGCAGTGAAAAGAACATACTTGTGGGCACTTCAGATGTTCACTAAAAGCCTTAAAGCAGCATTGGTCTTCCTTCATCCCTGTCAAACTGTAATAACCAGGGGGGATTGTTTCTAAATCAACAGAAGAGACAAGAAAATGCCAATGCTTTTTTTTTTTCTTTCACTTTCTCACAGCCACAGGGTCACTACCCCGGCAATCTTGTAAAAGCTTATCAATCTCTCTCACAACTTCCTCTGCATCCACTGACTCTCTGCCTAGATCCCGGTTCGAATGGTCTAACTGCTCAAGAACAGAGTCCATCTCATTGGAGTCTCGACTCACTCGGGAATGTACATCCGCAAAGACCCTAGCCATCTGATCAGAGGCCATGAACACAGTGTCTCTTGACTGTTTGCTAGGAGACAGATACTGACTGTCAGCGGACAGGTACTGGTTGCTTGCTTCTGCCAGAGTTCCTGGTTTGGCGTCACAACCATCTATCGGTCCTTTAGTTGAGGTGCAAGGCTCAATGCATGTCTTGGTTGGGCTGCTTGATGCTGAGGGGACCTCTTGGAGAAGAGGGCTCAGGGCACGTTTGGCTTTTAAATAAGGTTTAACATTGGCAATGAGAATAGTGTGCTCTCTCTTGTCTTTTCCAAATGTACAAAAAGTCTTTTTCCCGGTAGGATTCACAGTTTCATAAGTCTCAGTCTCAACATTAGCTTCCACTGTGGGTACAAAGAGATTTGTGCGGTAATCTGCATTTTCAGCCTGATTGGTTGAAGGAAACTGTGGCATCCAACATCTGTCGGAATGACCAAGCACTCGGCATTCATCTGTGCAATTAACACACTCTTCTTGTTCTGCAAAACAAATGAGAAAACAACAAGTCCAACCATTAGATATCCCTTTAAATTTCTACAGAGGCAATGATCAGCTCTCAGTGGGTTTGCTTGACCTCTGGTCTTTTAATTAAAAAAATAAAGAAAACAATAATTAAAACATTTCAGCAGGGTTGCATAAACCTTCAGGCTGAGACAATAGTTTTATTTAACATGATTCTCTAGTTATTAAAGAATTCCCATAGCCCAGAAGAAGGGAAAGGCTGCCACTGGAGAATTATTCTCAACAGAATTGAGGAAGCTTCACCATAAACTAATCTGCTGCAGAAATCAGTTAGCCTTTGTTCAGGAAAATTCATCTTAGAAAATGGTGAACAGTACTTAAGCAACTCAAAACGCATTATCTGGATTAATTTTTCAAATCAAATAACAGGCCAATGACTGACTTTCAGACTTTCATAAAAATCTTCAAGCTGGTTTTTCATGTTTTACCTCCACTTTGCTTGTAATTGTTATTTTGGGTGACAGTCATAAAATAAAAGGTTTTCTTAAAAAGTCTACTTTTCCTGCTGAGAATGAAGAAATGGAATTTTCTTTCAGAATGCATTATGAATAAGCTTGTCAAAAAGTGCACACTGGTATTTTATTAGATATGCGTATGGATCATGTAATCAGTTTTCTTCACTCCTACTTTTTGTTTTTAGTGCAAGTATGTGAAAATGGATTTGCTCAAGAGAGAGAGCTCAGAATGAATGACAAATCATGACATTCTGTTTCAAATGATAATGCTTTCTGCAAGAAATGTTGCTTCCCTGTTTCGCCAATAGGCATATGGAGTATCTAAATAAAACTTTTTTTTAATGACTGCTGTTTCAAAGATGCTGAACAAGAAAATATGAAAGAAAATCTCTCTTTCCTGTGCAGTTTCATTAACCCTAATATTCTGAACTGCAACTCTGGCCCACTAAGTTGTCTAAATTGGTTCTATTGCCCAAAATAATTACTCCTTTCATGTAGAAAGAATATTTGATTTGGCAGCTAGAGGACCTTGATTTTAGAAAGCTGATATGCTGCTAAGGGACTTTTGCCACCTCACCTTACATCTCTCAAGCCTCAGTTTCGTCATCCACAAAATGAAGAGGTTGAACTAAAATATGTGAATTCCCTTTCAGCCCTAGATCTTTAATCTACGGAAATGATCCTTTCTGAGTCAATTGAAGTTCCTTGTGAAGCAAAAATGTATGTCAACATAAGGGAGCTAAGATCTTCTTCACATTTGAGAATCCGAGGAATTACTCTTTAACTGATGGTAAGTAATAGCTTCAAGTGACCCATAACAGAGAAAATTCCTATTAGTTTCTATAGCTTGTTTTTTCTAAATAAAAAGCATATCCTTACCCCATAAGTGACATACAGAATGGGAAAAAAAGTACTGCAAAGGTAGATTCCAGATCTGGGTTTACATATCAAATATATACATATTTCCAGATATAAAAAGAATGACATAAAATTCAACTTTATGAAGTTCTTTCCTTTATAAAGGGAAGCTTGTGAGTATCGTGACATTATAGAAAATTACATCATATTTCATAGCATGAAACATTCACACTTCTAAAATGGCAAAACGTATTTTAGTATATTGTCTCACTTTCGTTTAGGTCAGTTTTTAAATTTTATTTTCAGTGAATGGGCTAGAGTGTACACACACACACACATGCACACACACACATATGTTAAATACATATGCAAAAGACTTTAAGAGTTAGTTTGTAGTTAATTGGAACAAATAAGTCGATATGTTCTAAGTTTTGCATAAACACATACACACAAACAAATATTGAGAATTTATCAGACTCTTAAAAATATTTATGGCCTTGTAATGTCTAGCCCAAAGTCCTGTCATCATACACAGTTGATATTTGTGACAACTACATTTGTTTTCTAGTTTGAGGTTTTCTAGAAAACTTTTTCTATTTTTTAAGGTGTAGGGGGCAAAAAAGGACAGGGTTTACAACAGGATTGTTAAACTAATATGGTTTAATGTGCTGAATTTGTATCTCTTCACCCTTGTTGACCTGAGAATCAGAAATCTAACTGCTCCTATATCTACTATGATATTCACCTATCACAATCCTGCACAAAAAAACATTGAAAAAAGTCACTATCCATTATGCCTAGTGATATGTTTACATGTTTTAGAGCTTGGATTTCCAAGTTTTTCAACAGCTATAGACTCCTTGAAATTGCATAATACAATTTTCTATTCTAATCTTGACTAATCCTTCATTTCTGTTAAATAGTCTGCCTGACACTAGCTGAATTAAATATGAATAAAAATGAAAGAAAGAAAAGTAACAAAAAAAAATCTTGGAGGGAAAAAAAGAAAATAATGTGGTCATGGTAAAAAAAAAAAATCTAAGTTGAGCCTGAATGTGAAAGCATGAGCTTGGTCTATATGAGCATCTTAAACTTTAAGCACTAAAAACCAGTAGTTTTTTTTTTTAACTTCACTCTTTATGTCACATCCTAGGAAGCAGATTTGGAGTATTGATTATAACACATTATAAGCAACTCACTTCACCATTAGGCTATAATTTGGGCTGCTACAGTTCACAGACAGAGAAGTAAATAAAAGAGGCACTTTTGTACTAGTAGTAGAGACCATAAACCAAAATAAACTATCACCACTAAGGGTCAGATTATTATTTATGGAAAAAAAAAGTTGAAATGATATAAAGGTAAACATAAAGAAACGGATATACAAAAAGATAAAACTAGTAAAATCATATATGCTTATTACTCACATACATGCACACATACATATTATACATATATATATAAACAAAAAGTTCTATGACAAGTTACTGCACTGGTCTTTGTTATCTCTAGCCTTTCTGCCTTCTGTTAAAAATATACCCATAACAATGCATTTGTGTATAATAAATAGGAATAGCATAGAGACTTTACTTAGTCTCTGGAGCTTTGCAGGTAGACGATCAAAACTGCTTTCTACACCTTTGGGAGAACAAATTTTAAAATAGATGTGCTAAATTATCAGCTTTAGAAAGAAAAGGAATGTAAGCTCTGTGGAAAATCCGTACTTGCCTAGATTGGAAATTTATAAAAGCAAATATTAAGAAAAACTGGGGAGAAGAATTATAGGCAAATAAATTTGATCCAAAATTGCTTTTATCTTGGAACCAGATAGCATTAAGAAGTCAGTGTCTTCTTTCCTGAGACATAGGGAGCTGGCCTGATATGCTATATGACAGAGTCCAAATAGCCTTCAATTGGATTTCATTTACCAAACATTTATCTGTTAACCACCTATACTACATGCCAATCATTCAGTCAAAAATTTGACTGTTTGATTCATGCTTTGGTGCATGTTTATCCAGCAGAATAATAACTTTGGATGAGGGTGTAGGTAAGGTGAAAGACATTATTAATTGAGCAGGACAGAGATCATACTGCTATTCAACTGCTGGGATGCTGGACAGCTCTATCTAAGGACCAGGTTCACATTCCCCACTGGGGGAAAAAAAGAAACTTCCCTTTTGTAGTGGTTCACATAAAAAAACAAAAACAAAAAAAATACAAAGAGATATATTACATTTGGAAGGAACAATATGAAGGATACACCATCTCTTCTCAAAAAAAAAAAAAAAAAAAGCAAGACGACAGAGTGCTAAAACTACCTTGTGTTGAGATGGGGAGTGACCACTTTAGTCTATGACCAGACCCCAAAGAAATGCATTTATACTGTGATTTAACTCTAACAACAAACCATGACTGTGTGGAAGCATTTGAGGACTCCGACGATGTGGCATTTTATTCCTAATCTATTCTTTGGTTGAACAGATAAAGATTTCAAGTTGCTAGTCTCTTTCAGAAGCTTTAAACATAGCTAAGGTGCAATAGACAATTCAGAAGACCTGGATTTGTAACCCATCTCTGTCACTAAATACCCATATATTTTAGATTTTCTGAGCTTTAGTTTCTCATCTGTAAAATAGGGCCAATAATACTTGCCCCTACTTATTTCACATAGTTTTTGTGGGGATCCAATGTGATCACTTGTGTGAAGATATCTTATTAACTCCAAAGCATCATAGCCATATAAAGAATAACTATAACTCACTGATAATTAAGAAGTATTATGTCTTAATCCAGAGCACGTTGAACCTACAATTAGGAAGACCTGTGAGCAAATCCTGCCCCTTCCTCCTCTTACCAAACAAATAATTAAAAAAAAATCTTTCCATATTACTGAAATGAAAATTTTCCATAATGCCTTCAGTACTTAAAGCATTTTAAAAAGTCTATTCTGATAGGCTTTATAGGGGAATTAGTGGAGTCTCCAAAACCTTACTCTTATAAAAAAATCTATGCTTGCTCATTATATGATAAATACAGACATAGAGCTTGCTCCCACCTATTCCACAAATCAAATGTATTTATGGATGTGTATCCATGTTCCAGAAAAACTAGATCCAAAAATGTTTGTTGAATATTGAGTCAGTAGCTAAACTCATAAAAGTTGTTGGCTATTTTATGACATTGGGATTTATTCTATATTTATGATGTAGTAACTCCATATTATTTAATTTTGAAATTGCATACTAATTATAACATATCTACATTTAATTTTTTCTTTAGACACACATCTTTAAAAGTCCAAAAATAGTTTCTTCCAAGTGGAATTCATCAGTTAAAGCACATCTCTAACAGAAAACAATGTAAGTAGATTCCTACTATTTTTATTAATTTTTAAATGACATAAATGTTAACATGAATTTTGTATTAACTCTACAGTACCTGTTTTTAAAAAATCTAGTTCTGCAAATAGATGAAAAAACCCAAACCATCGGCAAAAAATCACATCAATGGTTCCTCAGTGAAGTAAAACAACATGAACTACTGAAGGATTGGTACCGGTATCTACAGTACCTTGGACAAAGTTCATGATAAATTAATATTTTTATTAAATAGAATTGTGTTCTGTTATTATAGCAGAACAA